GGCTTCTCTTTTCTTCTCCAATGAAGGCGAACCAACTGGGATATTCCAAAAGGTATTTTCCTTTCGCAAGCAGTTCGGTTGGATCTTCTGCCGCTGCCTTTGGTGTCGATTCTTCCATTTTCTGTGCTGATCTGAAAGTGAATGCGTAAAAAAGATTTAGCACAAAATGAAGTCTAAAATCTGACTAGACTGTGTAATAAGTGGCCTAAACAAAGTAAATAATGTTCAGGAGGTGAATTACATATTCAATCCTCAGGAGGTATATATCTATATGCTCAGTTTTGACGTGATCTCCAAAAGGGCAGGCGTACCGGTATCCGAAGCTGAACCAGACTTCTGGCCACCCCGGACAGTGCCTGGGGACCGGAATGGTTTCCAACTGACGGGATAACTCGGACTTTGCAGCCAGCTAAGCGTGCTTTTATGTAGAGTGGTCGACCGGTGGACTGGGGGTCAGGCTGTGCTGGCTCCTTCTTAATGTGGTCTCTATAGCATTCCTACTCCTGGAATCTCACTCAGGTGGGGCAGCACGTCTAGAGAGCGGCTCCGGCTGCGTCAGCCATCTGCGTCTCTCCCACCTCTGTTCTTCTTGTCTTTGGACATAAAACTGGGCTGAGGTGGAAGACGATGAGAGAGTGCAGTAGATGCAACGGAAGTCTACTCTCGCTATAAGCTACTTCACGTGCAAGTCACTATACCTGCGCCACCTTGCTGTGGGGCACACGGTGGACCGCGTGGCCAGTGAGATGTGCTGTCGAAAGAAACGATCTCAAACAGTGGCGGTAGCGAGGAGAAGGCGCACATGCAGGATAGGTGAATCACAAGAACCTAACCTACCAATAACGACAGAAACTGGCATCGGTCTGTTGGTCCAGACAGGAACAGATACCCTTTTATAGTAATTCAGGCGCTGTGGAATGGTAAAAGGTACATCAATTGGGAAGAAGTACAGACGATCGCTGGTACATCTTTATCCACATGTTATACGGATACGAACCTTGGTCTATCTTTTAATCGAATACCGATTGGAACATCCAAAAAGCGCTTCGGATTGCGGCAAAGGTCGAAGCTGTCATTGAAAACTTCAGCAAAATACGTTTCAGAGACCCGTGCTCGTCGGTGAGTACATCTTGCCTAACACTTTGCCGAAAAGGAAGAGCTTTTCTACATATGGCAGGTCATATCCCCTTTCAAAAATTAGAGTAAAATAGAAAATTGGCTCTACCACAAAGCTTTTTATCCACAACTTTCAAAGTAATATTGGCCGCGTAAGCGCGAACTGCACACTATTAAATGGTACTCGGGCTATAAATATCTTCTTCGAATACAGCTAACTTGGCGTGCCTAAGATTAGCTAGCATGAAATGTTTCGACAAGAGCGGCATACCTCTGTGCACAGTCTAGGAAAAATTGACGCTAGTCACATACTTGAATTCAGTAAAACTCATCTTCTCGTAGAAAAGGGGTTTTACGGGTTAAAAGTCCCCTAGTCTTAACCTCAACCCTGACCATAATCTTCAAGCTTGGCCTAACCCTGATCATTAACGCAGCTTTAATCCTAACTCTTACCATTGTAGGCAACATCTAGGCATTTTTTAACAGAACGACCAAAAGGGGAAGTCAAGGCTTTTCCAAACACGAAAAGAACTACGTCAATCCATCTTTCAGCTTCCACTGGATTTGTAGAAATGCTTCATTTGAGATAGTAGCTGAAGTAATTATATCTTTATAACAAGTATGGGTCAATACGTATAGTTAATCCTGGGGGTCAGTGGACTCCAGCAATTAGAATCCAGCGGGAAAAATTCTACATCTTCGCTCAAAAGCTGCCATTTCGCGCACTTGTCCAGCTGCTGAAATAAAACTAGTGCTCTCAGGCAATCCACTTCTTTGCCCTAAAGGCAAGCATAGACTTCCCTTTCAGACCATTTCGGTATGAATCTACGTCTTTGCTTGTTTCTCTAGAGCAGGTTATATTGGTGGAACAAATGGGCAACTAGCCAAGTTGATGCAAGAGCATCATCCTACCAGACTAAATAAAAACATGGAGATGTCCATATTTAGCGCAATTTTTGCTCACTAGTTTCAGAGCGCCCACCGTCAACCAGTCATTCCGGCTAGGCACTCCTAGTTTTTGCAGCAGCAGATACTTGTGACGGCAGAAGCAGTGGCCATACGGCTAGCCAATCTAACTTTGTACTCGTATAAAGTGTTTGTGCATGCTCTAGAACGCCCTTGGCCGAAGATGAAGCCAGCATGCAAGTAAACACCTGCTAGGGACGGAAATAAATTTAACCTTCCTCCTCTCCATCCTCATCGCCCTCTTAAGCCCCTGACAAAACTGGACTGTAAGCCTTGACGACTGAGCGCTCCCAACTCTTTCCTCCCTACTAAGTGCTTAGTGGTTATTGAAAAATTTGGTAAGGATGAATTG